GACAGCGGTCCGCGTGCGCGGGGGGGTTGCCTCGGGTATCGAGGTCAGGCCAGAAGTGCGAGAATGGTTCTGTTTGAGAGGCGATGTCCTACCGGAGGGACGGCTCGGTGGCCGGCCCGGGCCAAATGCTGGTCCGTTGGTGGCCTGCGGTCTTGGTTGTATGGCCGGGGCGAGTTTGGGCAAAGCTGCCTTTGCCAATCCGCGGCGCCCTCGGTTATCGCTGACGCTGCGCTGCAGGCCGTTTGAGCGGCCGTGTGACTTGGCAGTCGAGTTTACGGATGTATTGCCGGTTGCTCTACCAGGTCCCAACTCCTTCGTACTGAAAGAACGCCGAATGTCGTTGTGCATTGGTGCTCTGGATTGAGATTCAGCAGCAGCAGCTAAGGCGAACTGGGCCGAGCCTTGCGTCATGGGAATGGCGGTGTTCATGCTAGAAGACGACGGTCGGCCAAATAGCAGGCCCGGATCAACTCCGCCCGGGCTCCCGAGGCCAAAGGGGTCGTCCACCGATGTCGAGAACGAGGTCGATGCCATCGACATGTCTGCTGAGGCAGAATGAATAGCATGCATGGCAGGCTTAGGAGCCAAAGGCCGAGTCCGCTTGGTGGGCTGAGAGCTCTCCTGGCTACTTGGGGGTGGCAGAGCACTTGCCTCCTGGAACATTTGCGAAGCGTCGAACGACGGCATGTGGCGGTGGCCTGAGTTGTGGAATACATTGGGGCCAAAAGAAAAGTCGATATCCATTCCTGACATGTCTGCACTCGGATCCCAAAAGCTTGCAGAGCCGTTTGCCGGACCGGTCAAGGGAAACCCGAACATATCGGTGGCGTTCACAAAGGCCGCTGCCATATTGGGGTGTTGTGGGGTCCCGGAAAAATCTGGCTGGCCGTAGCCGTGATCATTTTGCATATTGTCGGCCTGGAGCTTTGAAACCAGTTTCCGGCCACCTTTGTGGGAAGACGGAGGAGGAGTGGCCGTTTGCCCGTTCAGATCCGCGATGCTCTCCCTGCCTTTGGACTTTTCTGACACCGTGCCCTGCGATGCGGTTTCTGGTTTCGGCGGCCCGCCCTCTTGGCCAGGAAGCTCGGGTTCTTCGTTCGGAGGTTTGGGAGAGGAAGGCAGTCGTTGAGCGGCAGCAACTGGCGGCAAGGATAGGCTGGGATTGGGCGAGAAATGGTTGGCATGTGTTGCTATCTGTGCAGCAAGGCTCTCGGCGGACAAGGGCCTCTCCAGGGTGGCCGAAGGGGGATACGTAGTGGTGGTAAAGTCGGGGAAAGAGCCCGGAGAAGCTCGAAGGTTTCCGGGGGTTGTATCGAAGACGGAGTATTCCTCTGCAAAGCGAGGCGTCCAACCGCCAGCGTCGTCAAAGTGGCCTTGTCGCTGTTTGGGGGTCTCGAAGACGGGACTCGGGAATGTGGCCGAGGTGGGAGTCTGTTTGGGTGTGGGCGATTGAGCGTTTGGGTTTCCAAAGCTACAAACGATTCCAGGTTAGCCAAGGAGGTTCTGGCAGGAAAGCCGGCCTGTTGATCTTGCGGCCTGCTGGGAGGCAGAAGACCAACGTGAACGGGGTAGGCTGGTTGAAATCTTGCCTGGACGCCAACTGATCCCCACTCATAGCAGTTCTACTGTAGTTCACACAACCCTAACTCAACATAACGTGAACCACCGTCACCAAGCAGAGTTATCGCGTTTCGAAGATGCTGAGGGGTTCCGAACAAGGCCAGAGAACGCCCAAGGGTCGCAATCGGGTTGGAGGCGAGCGTAGGCAGGGCGGCGTGAAGTCGATGGATCGGCTCGTGAATGTAGATATGTGGGGCTGCCCGGGGTCGTATATCATTCATTGATCATTACAGGAAGGTCGAAGACGGTAGAGTCATCAACAGGAAAATAAAGCGAGGGACGAAGAAGGACTTGTGTGAACAGCAGCGTTTCCAAGTACCTAATCCGAGGCAGGGTGGCTGGGAGTCGAGGGGGCGGTTTGCGGTTTGCAGGCAGGGAGGTCCGTGAGGCCAGGAGACACAGCGAGCGCAAGCGTACCAGTGGAAAAGAGGATACAGGAGAAGAAGGAAATCTAGTCGTCAGAGTCGCGAGACAGCAGAGCAACAGCCTTGGCCGTAATACTAGGCATGCACAGCGCAGAATCGGAGGTTGCTGCAGCACGAAAGGAAGGGGGGGGGAGGAGGAAAGGAACGTCCAAGGGCCAATGATTGACCGTGAGAAGAAGAAGAATGAGAGAAGGTAGCAATAGCAACTACAGAGAACCGCAGGCAGTTGCAAGAGCAGGTGTGTAGAGCAGCAGTTGACAGTAGCCGCACCTTGCTGTGAAGAGGCGTATGTAACCTCAGGACGGCGCACAACGGTACGTAGAGAGACACAGCGAGGCAGAGACGGGGTTTTCCCCTTCCCCTTCCCCTCGTTGGAGACGTGTTGATGCTTGGTAAATTTTTTTGATAGGTGTGCACGGGTACATGAGGTGAGGTACCTCGAGTTAAGGCAATCCGGTGGTACCTATCTTGGTGGCTGGTGCGTTCTATTGGCGGAGGACGACGGGATAGGAGCACTGTCCAGCGGAGCACAGCGCACCTGGTGTGACTGGACTGCCCACCATCCGTGATAAGCTACAGGCTCTGCTGGGGCTTCCCGGGGAACGGCGGTTGCTCGTTAGGTTGAAGGTTCAGTCAATTAAACGAGGAGACGTTTGCTTCTTGACCTCGTTCGCCCTCCTCCCGTCCGTTGTTTCTCTATTCCTTCGACATCGAAGCCACCTGCGTCGGCAGATGACAGCAGCCGCCATGACATGACGCCCCTTAACGGCGTTGGCTGCTTCTAGACTCCCCCCCGATGCAGTTTGAGCGGAAACCGACTCTCCAGGACCATAGGCGTGGCTCAGGCAGGCAGCGAGTAGTGGGAAGCCACGCTTGGAACCGTTGATGGCCGAATCATCATGAGCGCACTGGCGCTGACAGCGAGATGTTTCCGCCTGAGGGGTGCCAGAATCACAGCCGGCTCTCGCACAGATGATGACGCTGTGGTGCAGTGATGGCACGTCAAGGTCCTCCTGGAGGAAACAGCAGCGCGTACTCGGGGTTTCAAGGTTCGCAACGATCGGATGATGAGTGGGATGTACGAATACCAGTCAGTACATGGCAATCAGCTTTTCAGCCAGCCAACGTGGAATTACAAACTAGCGTCTGCGAATCAACGCACCCAAGGCAAGGGCAACCAACTAATGGCGCAATCCGCAGCAGAGAGCCGGGCCTAGCCAAGGGCATGATGCTTCGACCCGGGTAGCTCACAAGTACCAACTGTTACTGCTGCTGTTGCCGCGGTAGGGAGACGGTCGATGGCAGGGAAATGCGATGAACTCTAGGGGCTGAAGAAAGGGCTTGCTCCAAGGATGTTCCTGTGTGGAATGGGCTTATTTTTTTTTTTTTTTTTTTTTTTTTTTGGAGGGAGGGGGGGGCCTGCGGCCAAGACATGCAAATCAGCACCTGTCCAACCACATGGGAATTGTTCTGACCGGAGAGAGACTCGGTGACATGCGGTCGGTCCATCACTGGCGTTGCCTTACAGTCAATCGAAGGCGGCGTCTCGGAGCCGCTGTGCCTGGTTCTGTTTCATCGGGACGGTGCTAGGCCGAACATCAATTGCTGAGCCGGTTGCTGGTTGCAACGGCTCGGCTGCAGGGCAAGCGAATTGCCCAAATGTGATGGGAAGGGATGGATCGTCTGCAGAGTCATGCAAGGTACTTGGCCAAGCCAGAGGCAGCCATATCTTCCGCAACTGCACAAGGCGAGTGGGGAAGCCAGATACCTACTCCCCGTATACATATACCTACTTACCTACTACTTACTTACCTACCTAGGTAGGTAGGCCAGGTAAGCACAGGGAGAGGGACTCCCCGCAGGCAGGGAGAGGCAGGCAGGGACGACCTGCAGAGCGCCATCCATCCTCAACTCGGCTGCAATCCTGCGCCAACCTGCTAATGAATGTACCGTACGGAACTCGGTATACAGCCAGCCAGGAATGTCTGTCTGGCCAGCTGATGACAGGCCTCACCAGGAACGATAGCCGTCATCAGCAGCAATTAGTTGCAGGATGAAGTAACTACCTAGCCATTTGGATAATCATCCCCGCTCAACAACCATCAATTATCCATCCGTATCCGTACACTGCCTCACAACCACACACACACTCGTGGCGTCATCCCACGGCCTCGAGGGACGACCGACCCGGCAACCCCCAGAATCGCCCCGTCCCCAAGACGACTCCCTTGCCGGACTGGCCATCAAGACCTCCGACGCATGCAAGCGGCGTGTGTGAGTCAACACGGCGCTGCGCTACCGATACTAGCCCCGTCCGTCGTGCTCTCTCGCGACACGCTGCACCTTATCGCATCGTAAAGCACCTGTGTATGCGCCGATCCAACAGGACAAGTACGAGCGGCGAGTGCTGGATCAGGGAACTCGTTTTGTTTGGTTGCCGAATCAACCCCCGCCATCGTGTCACTCGACAAGCTCCTCGTGGTGATGCCACTTACGAAGGATGAGCCCTTGCTGACGTTCCCGCTCTGGCAAAAATGAATCAAGCCAAAGGCCGTCATCAGTCGAAAGGGTCCCCACTGTTTCGGAGGTGGCTGCAAGTAGCTTCAGCTGTGCCTGGCCAGGGGCTTCTCCCCTACCACCGCAATGAGACCTTGCGGGAGCAACTTCGCATCCTCCAACCCGGGATGGATTGATTGGAAAGACAACGTAGGCAATGAGGCCCTCTGTCAGATACCAATGGAGCGCTGAGGCGTTTGCCTTTGCAGTAGGACAAGGAGCCTCTTATCAACAATCGTCTCATTTCCCACGACGGCAGAATGTCAAGGGGAACTCAAGCCTCTGCCGAACAGGTCGACCAAAGGGGCAGAGTGAGACACTTTGCCGGCCGCTCAAGCATCAACACGGGTTATCAATCGGACCCGTAGCTGACCCCTTACCCTTTCTTCGCGCTTCAACCTCCTTTCGGCAACTGGCTTCGCATCCCGAAGGGGCCCACGTACCCCTTAACTACTTCGGCAGGATGCCGATGCGCAGCGGGCATCTCACAAGTTGTTGGCAATCTCTGGTAAGGCGGTTCGCAAGGCCTCCAATGACGCCTGAGGGGTTCGAGTGTTCAAATATAGCCGGTTAGTCTTGTACGAACCACGGAGTACACAAAAATGGCGAGCAGTCTGTTCGGACGCTTCGTGGTGCGGACTGCGGTATCCGGGTGCCGCGCCGTCCCACCTCTCTTTATCCATGACATCGCCAAGGGCAGCATCATGCTCAGCCCTCTATCCGTTTCCTTCTCGAGAATCAGGGAAATCGGCAAATGGTCAGCTTTCGCTCAGTCCTCGCAATGGCCGCCCATTGTGACACTCACGAGCAAAACAAAAGGGAGGCGGTACCACAATACCAATACAATGGCTACGCAAGGCGGTTGGGGCCTCCTGTCACTTCTCACCACTCATGTCAGAGTTACGAGCGCGGACTTGGCCTGACAGAACAAATTAGCGCAGAGATCCAGTGCCTTTCCGCGGCTAGTCACAGAGTTGCCCTCCAGTTCTCCTGCTCAACACTCGTCGTGGTGTGTTATAATTGGTAACGGGACTGCACTCAACGGCCATGTCCCAAACTCAAGTTGCGCAACTCCAGAGGCCAATATGCCTGACTGTTAAAAGGCGGTGCACGGAACAATGATTGTTGGCTTGGCTTTTGGAGAACGTCAGAGTTCCAAGCGCCTGACGTGTAGTTAGCGCCACCGGACGAACTTTCATGGCGAGAGCATACTGGCAGGCGCATGAGCCGCACCTCAGCAAAGAATTCGGCAGTCTCCGTGCCAGTTGTCGTGTCGCTAGCCGGATAGGTAGTATTCCAGGCAGAGTTGTTGCGATGACCATTCGCCGAAGCACCATAGCCGCCGCAGAAGAGTTCAAATCATGCCGTAATATGCAGGTATCAGACGAAATAGTGTTTAGCTGAACGGGGCAAGGAGGACATCGGACGGTCCGGTGTCTACACACACAATTAGCGGCCGGTCGCTTCTGGAGGCTGGAGTTAATTGGGTTCGCTCGGCACTGCTACGATTGGCGGGCCATTGGTCCCCATCTTTTATCAACACCATCATCATCATCATTGCCGCGGGCTATCATCTCCGACGTTGGGCATGAAGTGATGCTGGCCAGATGCCGACAACGAAACATCCCTCCCGCCACCTTGCTGCATATGCGGAGCCATTTGAGCCACTTTAGGCAGTTGAGGACAGCAGACCGGCTCGAAAAACAAAGCCCCATCAATAAGTCCATCCAGGGAACCACATAGTAGAAAAACATGGAACTAAGTAAAGAAACCATCAATCGAATCGATTGGCTGTCACTACTTCATGACAGCTGCCATGTGTGTGGTAGAGAGCTGCGTAAGCAAATGCTGTTGCCGGCCTGTCATTGGCCCATCGTCGCTGCAGCTGCAAGGGGTTTTTGAGTGGTTGCAGTTGAATGTCATTGGGTGATGAGACCTGGGTAGGCACTAAACCTACACCAGCTTGTCTTATATCACGAAGTACCTCCAAGTCTGCCCACTCATTATGGCCATACAGGTATTGTGCTAACTTTCGACATGCTGGAAGGTATCAATGGAAGTAGTGGGAGCCTTTTCGGCGCACCAGAAGCCGCCCTTTTCAATAGCAGTCGGGTCCCTGCCGTCCCCCGAAACCCCGCTTCTTCGCGAGACCGGGCGGCACCATCCAAGACCTCAACAGTGGCAGGTGGGTGCCCTCGAGTTTCTGCTCAGGGGGTCGGCCGGGGCGTGGCATCGACGCCGACTTCCTCGCCAGCCGTTCCCGACATGAGCGATTACCCCCTTTTCTTCTGCTCCTGGCCCATCCCGTCCGTGTCATCCGCGCCCATCCGCACCGACAGGGCTTAACGAAAAAGCCAGGATACGACTTCGCGCCACCAGCGCACAGAACGGACATCGCCAGCGGGGGGGGGGGGGGGGGGGGGGGTGGATGAGGATGGGCTGCACGGCGGACGAAAGAAGGCGCGCAGCAATACCTACCACGGCCTTGGAACCATCTCAGCCGTACCCGGTTTTTTGCGTCATCCTGTTCCGCTGTAAATTAGGTACGTCCGTAGGGCGAGAATAAACACGATCGTCCGCCTATCGCCTGTTCGGTCCGCCAGATGCCGCCATACGAATGGTACATTACGGATACTACATACGTCGAGGAGGGAGAGCCTGTGCGCCGACCCCTCGGATACATAATGGCGGGGTCTCCCAGCCGAGACGCATGAATCTGGGAAATTGGAGAGAGCCGGGCCTCCCCTCCTCTGGCATCGCCCGCCGCCGTCGCGGACAGAAACCATTTGCGGCTTCTCTTGCCCAAATGGATCGTCTTGGTTCCGGGATACCCGTCGGATCGAAACAACCATCTTTGGCAAAGAAAGACGGAGAGGCGCCACAGGGGTGGGCAAGAAAGGTTTTGCAAAGTGGTTTCCTGGAAGAAGCCCAGGGGTGGGAGAGGGGATCGCCTAACGGGCCTTCTTCATGAGTTGTGATGGAAGGGCTAGTCTCCGGCGCCGAGTCCTCTCGCCCGGGACTGCCGTCCTCCATCGAAACAAGAGCTTGTTGCAGCCCCCAGTCAACCAAGCAGTCACTCAGTCGGCCAGTCGTCCTGGGAATCCCTCGACCGGGCCCTCATCAGACAGACAAGCCGATGGTGCCCCTGAATCGTCCAAAGTCTCCGTCCCAGCAGTAGCCGCCGCCGTCACCCCAACTCTGCCCGGCACTTCTGCCGTCCGTCCATCCGTCGTCGTTTGTTTCCTGGAGCCGTGTATAGAGAGACTTGGCCGATCACGCGTTTGTACTGCGTTCGAGAAGATGATCCACCGAAGAAACGCGCACAACATGCTACCCGGTCCGCCATTGAGTCCCTCCCTCCCTTCCACTCTCGGGCAGAGCACAGGAACAGTAAATTCCCCTTCAAGACACTGGATACCCACATGATGCTCGGGCACGTAGTCATAACTCCTCCTCCCGCAGCCCTCGGCCACCGTCGGCGGCGGGCGGGCAGTCGAGGCGAACGAGACGGTGGTGGCCTCTCCCGGCAGCGTCCACCGGTCACTCCGGGTTCCTGGTCCATTCATCCCACCATCCACCGGCCTTTCTGGTTCCTGGTCTGATGTTCTTCCATTTGCAGGCCCTAGCTCTCTAGCGTGCTCTTGACCCCCGACAGCTGGTAGGGAGCAGCCATCTGACCTTATGAAGGGAGGTGGGGGTAGGCAGAGCCAACAGGCAAAGTTCGCGGCCTAGCAGCATCAGCCCCAGCCGGCAGTTGGTCGTTCCTGGACCATACTATTTCGGAAACGCAGATCACAGGGCAGGGCTGCATGGTGGACCACCACCACCACGACGGCGGAGACGACGACGACCAAAACCATGTCCACGACACGCTGCACCCCAAACTCCCATGCCCGCGGCCCAGGCCCCCCCCGGGTCCCTTCGCTCGGTGTACCTCCTCCACCGATCTTACCCTCCTAATCGGCATCGATGCGGTTCCCCTGTTCTCCTTTCTGCCTGTCTACCGTCCTGTTCCTGTCCCTGAATCCCGCAAAGGTATGAGTCCGGATGGCAGGCCCCATCCTGAAATACATGGGTCTTGAGTTAACGCATGCCACGTCTTCTTCCCAACCCTCTTGGTATCCCAGTTCTCTTACCCCCCTCCCCTTCACCCCGGTTGCTGGTGGAAGGAGACCGTGACTCCAAACCCGCTACGTTTGCTGGACCGGGAGGGGGGTGAAGGCAGCAAGTGCCGTCCGGCCCCCACGCTCTCTCCCTTTTCTCGAACGATTCCATGTTTTTTTTCTCCCGACAGCTTCGCGGCCTCCGGGGTGTAGGGGGGGCGGATGTTCATTCACGGCGAATTTTCATGAGACGGTTATACATAGCAGCGATAAGGGCCAGGGAAAGGGGGGGGGAGGGGGGGGGTCATGGGGAAGTGCAAGCTCAGAAAACGAGGTCGCGCGGGTTTCGGTTTGGAACAGAACCAGAAACCCCGCGCAGGGCGACCTTGTCGGCTTCGTTGCCGCCCTCCCTCTTTGTGGGTCGCGTGTGTCACAAGCCAGAGTGACCCTGACCTCTCAGTGCCGCCTCAGTCCGCCGGCCGCCGTCAGTCATCTGGCGCAGGAGAAGGAGGAGGAGGGAAACAACCGAGTCTCGCGAAAGATCACCGAGGCTGCCTCGTTCTGAAATGGGCCGTTTGTTTGTGATTCCTCATTCTGCGCGTGGTATTGAGCAACGGAGATGGAGAGGGGAGGGGAAATAACAAATTCTAACTGAGCACTATTTCACCGCGAGGGTTTTTGTCCAACGATAATAACATTTCCTTTCCATTCCATTTACATGATGGCATCGTCGTCCTTCTTCGTCCAGTGACTTTCAAAGCAAGATGAATCCTTCCCGTTCCTTTTTTTATCCACGTCCTCTCTCCCCACTTGTCGGTTCGCCTCGTCCCTTCCCCCCCGAGTTCCCGTGAGTAGGGTATGGAGAGAGTAAAAAAGAAAAATAAAATAGGAAAAGAAACTCCCATGTATTTCCACCTTTTCCTCCCCTTGATATCATTGGTATGTCCTCCTCAAACAAAGAAACAAGAAACGGAGTAGCAGGTGAAAAACAAATCAGGGAAAAAAAAACGAAACAAGGAGACTGGACGGCCCACGATTCCGGGGCCGTAGGTACATACCACCTATTTAGCTATCTACGATTAGGTTTGTCCTGGACAAATTCCATGACGGAGAAAAAAAGAGTAAGTGGATAACCAAAAACTTGCGATTCGAGAAGGAGCGAACAAGAATCAGAAAAATAATACCAAAAGGCCTTCCTTCGAAACAGGCCGGGAACTAGCCCCTTTCTCTTCCTGTGGCATTCGTTTTGGGTGTGGCTGGCCAGTATAGAACTCTGCACTGTGAGTTGTTCGTGTGTCGGGCGGGCGTAACAGCAAAAACTCGATCCATTCCTCCTCTTGAACGTAGCATGAAAAACGGACAGTCGTGCTTGGCTCGTGCGTCAATTCAGCGTAGACGGCGGCTGGCGAGGACGAAAAAAGAAAGGAAAAGGAAAGAGAAAAGTAAAAGAAGGATAGGGGGTTTCAATCGTGATGGTCGTGCCGGTAGGTAAGGTAGTAGATATTTTGGAAAATCATCCATGACACAGTTCTTCTCTTTTCTCCTTCTCTTTCCTTCCCTCCTCTTCTCTGGATTAGGGGGGGAGGATGGTTGGGCGGTCAAATCCATGCCCAAACCCCAAGCAAACAAACAAGTCCAATAACCCTTGAGTACCTCTCCCACAGCTCTTCCGTTCCCCTTCTCCGAGATTTTTTCTCGTGATGCCCGTGTCTATAAAAGGTAAGGTCCAAGGAAAAAGGCTTCATTGTCATTGTTTTTCATGATGACGTTTCGGATGAGCGTGTTTGTACCACAAGCACGCGCTGCGGCGTAGGTCAAATTGTGTAACAAAGAAAAGATAAAAGACAAGGCAACAACAAAAAAGAAGTGGTATCAGTCGTGTGCGATGTTTTTTTTTGTTTTTTTTTGGAGGGTAGTGCGGTTTTGCAACCAGATAATCTCGAGATCAAAGATGGGTGGCGGCAACGGCCGGGCTCGCCATCAAATCATGCCAGGCATGCCTTCCAAAGGATTGATAACATTCCCCGGCTGGCCGTGGCTCGCTCCCATTTGTGGGTGGATCTGTGACATGGGCGGCGGCACCTGTTGAAGGTGTTGATGTTGTTGATGATGGTGCTGCTGTTGCATCTGAGCGGGCGTCGGCGTGCTTGTACCGGCCATCGCCGACGGGGTCATCTGGGGTGTGATTGGGGCCTGCGGTGGCATGGAAGTCGCCGACTGTTGTTGCGGCTCAACCTTTGGCTTGGCCATCTGAGACGCCGCCAAGTTGCGGTTGTGGTTGCTCTCCCGTCGACGCTTTGGCGCGTCTTTGATCTTAGGGTGGGTGTGACACTAGAAAGGAGACGAATTAGTCGCTGCTGTGACGCATTGCGGTCTTGTCACGACCGGGTGCCGCGTTACATACCTTGTAGGCGTGCCTGAACCACGTGGTGCCCTTCTTCTTGCTGCTAACGAGCGCGATCCAATCATTGCAGCTGCCGCACAATCCTTCCCAGACGTCCGGGTTGCCATCCATTCTGCGAGTCTCCTGGGGCTCCTGGAACGGGTTGCCGGTGGCGGCGCTGATGCCGTGGGTGAAGGATTTGTCGTACCAGAATGCCGAGTTCTTGAGCACCAACCAGCGGCCGGGTTTGCAAATTCCGCACCATCCCTCACGCTTGTTGCCGTGGCCCCTCACCCATCTGGGGGTGTATAGGTCGCCCTCGAACCGCAGTTCTTGCTCGTGCGGGACGAGATCCGGGTCGGACGGGTTCATGTCTTCGGGTGGGGGCGGAATCTGTTCCTCGTGCAATGAGGCGTAGAGGTCGGGCGGGTCGGACAGGTCCGTGTAGTGGCTGTGAAGAGAATGGGGGTCGGCGTTGCTCTGAAGCATACGGAAGAGGCCATGGGACAGTAGCGGCGGCGGGGCCTCGAAGTGATGGGCATCGGGGTGGAAGCCGTTGGACGGCAACTGGGATGGCAAGAGCATGCTGTTCATGCTGTTCCTCTGGTACTGCGGCTGGGCAGCCATCATGAACGGGTGGTGCTGCTGGGCTGCTTGGAGGTTGGTGAAGTTGAGAGGGACCTGCTGATGCTGAATAGTGGGCGATGAGTGTCTGGAAGACATGCGCTGGTGAGCACCGAAGGCATCGTGACCGGGATGGAACACGAACGGTGTTTGACGCCGGTTCTGTTGGGTTCCATACGATCCCGTCGACCATCTCTTTGTCGTTCCGCGCTCAACGCTGTACGGAGCAGATCGCATTCCCGGGCGCGGTGACGGAGAGGCGCGGCCACGGCTCTGGGTCCTGACGAGTTCAGATCG